TCATTCAATTTTCAACAGGGATCAGTGAAGCATTACCATAGGGTTGAAATTTACATTCTTTAATGGCATGGAAGAATTGGCCCCATAAAAATGGAAAGAATGACAACATATTCTCTTGTCCTAACACTTTTGCACAGTACTGTAAATTAAGTTTAGAAGTAAGTTACTGTAATGTTGGTGTTCATATAATGTTCTGAATTTACTAGAATGTTGTCAGCAGTAGTTCAGTTCTATGTAAATGAAGTTCAGAAAGTTAGTATTGTAGTGGTCTTGTACATTTAATGTTCTAAATTTGCTACAATGCTGCTAGTAATGGTTAAGCCTCATGCAAATGAAAGTATAAAAAGAAATGATATCACTACTACATAAAAGTTCTCTCAGTATTTTGCATGTTAGATATTAGATGAGTCTTCCTAAACTGTTAAGTTAGTAAATTTCTTTTCATAGCATTTGTATGTAAATAACCAATAGTATGCCAAGCTTTAAAGTATTTTGAGTTCTATATTAGTTGTCAGAAGTAATCTGAATTTTGAAAATCAGTATTTGAGTTTGTCTTTTAAAATTTGATTTATTTTAACAACAGCCAGGAATATCATCAGTATTAGTTTCTTTTTGTTAAGTTTCAAGTTAATGACTTCCAAATTAAATTTGCAAAAACTCAGTTGAAATGTTGTCATATTTATGGTATGGATAAGGTAAAAACTTGCTAATAGCTAGAGTGTAGACTGCTATGTAAAAACCTCCTTTTAGTAGCATGTTATTGTTTTACATAAACATGAATTGATGCTACAGAAATAAACAGTAAGATCTGTATGATTATACACACTGCCCATCCTCTTTTGTACCTATTTTTGAGTTATATACTACAGTGTGTAATTTATGTGTGCAACATATTTTGTTACTGTTTTAACATAGAATATTATACTTTGCACATGAATTCCATCCTAAAAGCCTTTTTTTTTTAGAATTTTTGTATTTATAATCCCTGGACTTATGGAATTAACTGCCTTTTCAGCCTTGCATAAATATTGTATTTGCAAAATGTATATTCTATAACCCAATATTGTAATAGAGAAGTTATCAAGAAATATTTAGTAATCATTAGAATAAGGAAAAAGGAAAATTAATTAACTATTAATGATTTTTATGTAAATAGGATTTCCACCCTGGTGTAGTAAAAACAAAGTTCCCAGCCTTTATCACCAGGTGCAAAAGATAGTGACAGGAGATGGAAATCATCCAATTGATACACAATGTCTTTATCCTATACTGTTGTCGTCTGGACTTCAGCGAGGATTACTAGGCCTGATCTGGGAACTGATCAGTCAAACAACTCCAGGACAGTTAGTTGAAGAAGAATTGTATATGGGATTGGCTCTTGTAGCTCTTGCTCAGGTAAGAGTGGATGTTTTCAACACAAATCTTCATGTAAGCTTTCTTTCTTAAGGTCTTTCTACACATTCTATTCCCATTATTGTACATAATATGAAAAATTCTGAATAACATATGTAGTTTTATAAATTTCTGAAAAAATATAAGTTAAAAAAGATATTCTGATATAATGAATCACCTCTGTGCATAGATTAGCTATTTTTCTCTTGAAGTCAAGCTCTTCTGTCTAAGAGACTTGCATGCCACCAGGCTTGTGAAATTTCCACCTGAAATTCATGTGAAAACATGGGAAAATGCACTACTACCCTCTTTTATTCCTTCCTTATCCACTGTCCCCTTCCTACTTCTTGCCTGATTGCAATGTCATTGTGGTTCTAAATGCTCTTACCAGAGTCCGTATTGAACCTCTAGCAGATGTTTCTGCTCTTCCTAGACACGAGTCCCATTCCTACTTGGCATTGATAGCCATTCTACATGTATCTATGACTTTGTTTCCTCCTGTTTTCTCATTACTGCAGTTCACTTCTCTTTTATCTTGGCTGGTCTTTCTTTTCCTTGTATTCCATGGCAAGGGAAAGTGGTCACTCCTTTTCTCCCATATCCCCTGCTTCAGATCCTCTTTTCAATGCTATTCCTGCACAATTAACTCTGCACCTGTAATGAATGTAAGTATTCATTTCCTTATTTTTTCCTCACCTTTCTTTTATGTTTGGATCCCGCTAGGTGGATAGTGTTGCCTCACTGGATGTATTTACCCAAAATTCAGCATCGGGCCAGGATAATGTAAAGTGCTCAGACCATCTGCCCTGACCCAGTTAGTGACCAATGTGAGATGGGGTGTTCTGCAAGATCACTGGAGTTGTACTTGTGGTATTTATATAACTTTTTCTAGTCCAATCCAAGCTGTACCCATTCCATGGACTATTATGGACAAAGCTAACACCAGAGTTGTACTTCTGCCTGCTCCTCTGGCTATTACTTACTGGCTTTTAAAAATAGGGTTTCCTGGGTATTCATTGCACTGTATCGAGCAAAGTTATTTACTGACTGAAGACCAATAGGGATTCGGGCACATTCTCTGGGTCTCCCCTATAATGATTCCCCCCATCAAGTGGAGAACAGGAGACCCATGCTACATACCAGCTCTTAGCTGCTAGGATGGTGGACCATGAAAAATCCTCACCAACTGGTACCTAACAGTTGGTGCTAAGATGTGAGGCAAGTGTGTTTCTGGAGTGTAATACAGACCACCCTAACATTACCTTGATACATCACAATCTCTAAGTAGATTTTGGACACATAGCTCCTCTACTCTCTGTTTCTCCTTTACCTATTTCTGCAAGGACTTGGTCCCATGGAATATGCTTGCAGAGTAATTGATATTTCTTAATATGCAACTGTGATATATCATTCATTAACCATACTCCTACAGCTGGCATTTGGCCTCTAGAATCTGATAGTTGAGTGGTGGTTTCATAAGTATCCTTATTAGTTGTGTCAACTGTGGTGCTCTTCTCTAGCAACAGACAACTGAGTAGCTGTGCATGGTTACTTTTCATATGTGCCCTTTTTCCACAGGTGATATTGACTCATAGAGACTGATGGTTGAGGAGGTAAACACACATGGTACAGTCTTAACATGTCCCAACCATACTACACCTCTTAGCTGTCCGACGGCTTGTGTGTAAGCTCTCAAACAGTCATGTACATTTATCCTTGCGACACCTTTCAGGCTTCTCACCTCTCCATATCCTTCACTTGGATGAAGAGTATACCCTGGATGAAATGAGATGGGGTCTTTTATGGGTTTGCCCCAGTGGAGCCTCTGCTGGAAGGTGTTGCACCCCCCATGTGTTTCCTTTTAGCATTCTTGACATGAGGCTTATCTAGGTAATTTCTGCACCAGTCCTTCCACTATCTCAATGTGGGATTCTAGTTAATCTGTTTACAGATTTGAGTCATCATATTGAAAGTTAACATTTTCCTTACCTGAAAATATATTTCTGATAGATACTAACCTCTGTGCACATTCCCACCCATTCATTACAGTTTCCCAATGCACTTTTATTGGGTGCTTTTTCAAAGAATGAGGATTTTCATGCGTGAATGTAGAGAAAGCATTTGCACAGGGAGGTGTGGGTTGCAATCCTATTGGCAGAGTGTTTTGGTGCATGATATGTCATCGTGTAGTAGCACAATTTCACGTGTTTTTACGTGAATTTTAAGTAGGAGTTTCACAAGGCTGGTGGCATGCTAGTCTCTCAGGCAGGAGAGCATGACTTCAAGATGAAAATACCTAAATTGTGCTCAGAGGTATCTATTGGAAATACATTTTCAGATAAGGGAAATATTGACATCTCACTGAAGTTAAATTTAGAAGTTAGTAATATTGTTTTATGAAAATTGGGAATATATAAGTATCTGTTAACTTCTAAATAATTAAATTGATTATAATTTTTCCTAAGACTATAATTTTGGTATATAAATTTGAAATTTTGGAAGAATGCTGCATGAGATTTTCCCAAATGTAAGGTTTTTTGTCCACTGGGGTAAAATGAGTGTAAATATTGTTAACAGTGATGGCACCCAACTGATAAAACAATGCAGTCATCTTTATAAATAAGATTGTACAAGCACTATATTTAATTAGTTATACTTGTTAATGCTTAGATTGCTATTTTTGATACAAGTATGTGTAACTTGCTCTGATTGGAAGTTAATATTAATGGATGCATTTTATACATGCTATTCTTTTATATCTTCATTTTTTTGCTGTTACAATTGTGGGATTGTGATTTTCTTCAGTTAGCATTATTATTTGCATAAAATAGGTAAAATGATTTGGGTAATTACATGTTCTGACACTTCCACTTTTTAAATTATTAGAAATCCATATACATTTATATAAAGTAAGTGTTATTGTATTAACTCAGAATGTTATATATTGCGAGAGTTTTCAATTGGAGGAAAATCACCACCATATGCTTTAGTGTTGTTACAATTCTTTTAGATTTTTTTAGTCTATAATTGAGCACCTTGATGTAAATCTTCATGTTTTTACATTTTATAGGCAGGCTACAAGTTCAACAGCATAGAAATTTTATACCAGTTACATCAGCCACCTGTTCCTCTGCTCCAGTTGTTCACTACTTCTGTACCTCAGGCTACAATTTCTACATTACCTGGAGGAGTCTCAAACCAAGCCACAAAGTTTCCAACTTCATCAGGATCAACTTGTACCTCAGTATTATATCCTTGTCCACCAGGAGAACCTGTTGTGTCATCTGTATCTTACCCAACTTCTGTCAGTTCTACCCAGGCAAATTCATCAATCCTTCTTCCTCCACAATCACAGCATCTTTCTACTTCATATCAAGAACAGACTGAGTCTTCCTTTGCCTCAACTCAACATTTTCCAGTACATTCACACATTTCCCTACCTTCATATTCTTCTTCAGGCTACCAAGATGTTTCACTCTCTTCTTCAAAATCACAAACTTTTGCTGTTTCTTCTCAGGCATCTGTTGTAGGCTCTAGAGATTCTTCAGAGATGCATTTTGGTGCCATTGAAGCCAAACCTGTAGTTGATCAACAGGCATTATCAGTGTTGCATCTTGCCAGACCTGTGGCAGGTCATCAGATGTCTTCATTGCCATATCTTTCTGGAATTCAAGCTGAATCTATAGTGAGTCATCAGGTATCATCATCTGGTAGTAACATTTTCTGGATCCATTATAGATCCTTAGGTTCAAACCCTACTCAATATTCACCTTGTGCAGAGTTTCTAATAACAATCACCACTTGGTAAATGTCAGGTTTTAATATGACCTGGGATTCTTTACAGTAGGTGTCTGTGACTTGTTGACAATCAATTTCAATAATAAATGGATAGCACTTAGTCCACTTGTTTTAAAATAAGGTATTCGAAAAAAATCAAACATATGTATAAAACTTCATTACACTATCGGTTATCACAGTTATAGCCAGAGTTTTAGATAATTGTTTCTTTTTGTGAAAATCAAGACAGGGTGGGTTCAGTTTCTTTAAAACACCTTTTTTACAAGACAAGTTATTCTCCTGTATCTATGTTATTACAATACAAGCTGTGAAACTCAATTTAGAAATTGCCTGTTATGGTTAAACTGACAATCATGCAGTTTAACTTCACTTTCACTAACTTAACTTGCACCAACTTGGTCGCCTATCTATATAATATACATTGCTCGACTTAGGCCTAGGACTTTCTACAAACTATAAGATGATATGATGTAACAATACTCACTTAACCCTATCGAGACAGCTAGGGGTCAGAGGGCATGTCATTACGTTTGTAGATTTACATTCAACATTTTATTTAGCTGTCATTATATAAACGTATGTCACTAAGTTTGGTATCAAGTTGTGGATTATAATTAAAATTTTTTATATTATGCATTAGTTAGTTTCTTAATTTGAAACTAAATATTAAAATAAAGGCTAAATATTGATTTTTTGTGTGTGTCACGTGGTACGTGGCCTTCTGGGTTCGGTCAGATTACATTTTATGATGCCTACAATATAATGTCCATAGTTTCGGAGGAATTAGAAACTCAAATGTTTGATATTGGCAAGCCAGAATATAAAATAAGAACCTCTTACCTTTTTAATTTGCTGACATGAGATGATATTTTGCAAACCCACCATATTGGCTCCACCCACCACTTCATCATTTGAGAAGACTTATTTATCTATGCCTACTTTTATATACCAATAACTTTATAATCAATTGAAAGCTATATATTTATTCTACATAATTTTTTCAGTCTTTCTAGATTATTTACGAGAAAAATGCTCTTATATCATTGGAAAGTTTGAAATATTGCTATTAAGGCTATTTTATAAATAGAAAATATATTTTTTAGACCCAAATACAATTTAGTTAGGAAGCCTAATAAATTAGAGGGAATTTTTGTGGTATTGGTATAGTAATTTGTAATTTTCTATATTCCAAAATGCTTATATAAAGATTACAAAAATTATTATTTTTCCATCTGCACATGTGAATTTGGAGGAAGCTGAGCAAGTATGGCTCACGAGTGCAAATAAGAACTTCGTAGCATTGCAAGTAGTAGAGATCATTGTTTTTCAAATATTTTTTATTTACTGTTTTATGTTTGAAGAGAAATAACTGACATTTCAGTATTTATTTGAAAACATTACTTTTCTACACACACACACACGCATATATATATATATATATATATATATATAATGTATGACAGCCAGTATGTTAGTGTATTTTACAAAGTAAGAACTTGTGTTATTTTTCTACTTGTTTACATTGAGGTAGAATAAAAACAAATTATACAAGACTAAAGACTTGGCAATTTAGGAAAAGTTTATTTATGTAATTTGTGTAAGTCCAAGATATAAATTTGTCACTGATCAACTGATCTTAACACATGAAAAGGAACATCTTTACATAAACACTCGGTTGAACTTGCAGTTTGCTGGTGAATAATTTGTTTCTCGAGTTACAATCGAGAAGGCTAAGCCAATACTACTAGCCCAACCAAAATGAGCCATATTTATATTACTGGAAACTACACATTTATTAGTTACCATGTATGCATGATAATATAGGAAACAGGATGTTCGTAAGCATTTACCTACGTTTAAACTTATGCCAATGCTAAATCCTGACCACCAAGTAAGATTACTAGCAAGTTTATTGGTTAGGATACAACTTTATACTTTGTACAGAGCAATATCATAAATAATTTCTCTCACTCTCATAAAAGTACTTTAGACAATTCTTGTTGCAACCATTGTATTGTAAAGAAGCCAGTAAATTCTATCCCACTGTGTTCTCTTTTTGACTTATTGGATCGGCCCAGACTTCCTAGAAAGTCAAACATTTTATAATACCTTAGACAGTTGTCGTTGTAACCATTATACAAGTTGATATATCCTATCTTATTGTGTTTTCAAAGCAGGAAAAATTCTGGGAATTGTGCTGCATGAACTTATTTGATATTGACAACGTCAAAGTATGGTAACACCTAAACAGGAACGGTGATTCATTGCTTTATATTTGGCAGGTTTCTACTTCAGCCACTAACAGTAGAATAACAACAGGAAATAGGTGTAAAAAGATTAGAAGAAACTCTCAGGATATTTACTTGGAACTTTACTGTCCATACTAAAAGGAACAGAGTACTATTCATTTTGTTTCTTCTAATTACTAACTTGTCTACTAGCAATAAAATAACTACAGAAAATAAGTGTGAAAAGGTGAGAGCGTAAACTCTGACCATAAGTACTTTGAAATTTTGTAATCACTACTAACAATGCATTGTATTTTGCAACCTTTATTTCCCTTATACTTTGATTACTTACCCACAACCTAGAGAAATAAGTATAATGTTACAGTACAAAAAATAAAATATAAAGCTTTACTGAAAATAAAAATGTTTGATATTCAATTATGAGGTTTTTTATTTTTCATTTGTTTTAACTGTTTATTATTATAAAAGTAACTAAAACCATAAAAATAGAAAGTTGTTAGGTAAAATAATGAAAGAAAATTATTAAAAACCTTTGTGGGGTATACACGCCAGAAGCTTCTGCATTACACTGTTTGATAGGGTCATGTTGACGCACATGCGCCGTGTAATTTTTAACTTCTGTCGGGGTATTTTTAGTCAGACACGGTTCAAAGGTCAGTATAACAAAAATTAATAAATATAAATCGATTTATACTGTTACAAGATTTAAACTATTTAGAATAAACATGTATGGTTTCCTATTACAATTTGCAGTTATTCTAGAACAAAAAAGGTAATTTAGATTTATTTCCTAACTTTTATGATGGTTATGAGGTCGGTCAAATCGATCAACACCATATAGATTTAATATTGATAAAATATCAAATATAAAAGATTAAATATAAAGTTTTATTAAAAAAGAACGTTTGATGATTATCTAAAAAGGATATAAAGATTACACAGATGAAACATGCCAAATTTCAAATAAAGAAAAGTATTTTTAATCTTAAAATCAAAATTGCTTTGTACGTTGGATAGTCAACATTCTGAAAGAAAAAATCTTGAAACACAATTCAAAAACCAGATATTTTGTGTATGAAATCCTTGTAATGTTTACTAATAATATGCAAAATTTTGTAAAGACTTGTATATATTTCCAAAGATTATAGTACAATTATTCTCATAGATACTTTCCTGGTTATGGGCTGGGTGGATTCCACCCAGTCCGTAATGGAAGGGTTAAAGTAACAAGAAAAATTCAGAAGATTCAAGTAACGTGACACCAATTCACAATAATTGAACTATGCAACAAATGATTCATAAACAGTTATCTAAAGAAACCTGGGATGAATTATTGCTTTTAAAAATACTAAATTTAACACTCACACTTTATAACTCTAAATCATAACTCTTGTATTAAATTTAAATGAAACAATTGTGTATATCAAACAGTAAATTATCAATCAAATTTGAAAAATGTGATTGAAATTCAAGAATTTAAATTTTTCATTGGTGAATTCTCATGTCAAAATACTTATAAAAGTGTTTGAATAAAATAATTTGTAGTTGGAATGTTTATTAACATTAAGCTAAATAACTTATTAATAAAAATGAAAGTATAAGGGTATGAATACTTTAAGCTTAAGTGCAACAGGTGATTAAATATAGGCCATCTCATGATGGAACACTGAATGAATGACAGCATCATGATTGTGGAATACAAAGTTACAACTCTTAAAACATTTCCTTATCAACTGTATTTAAGTCAGTCAAACAGAACAAGGAAGTTTAATTGTAAACAGTAGACATTATTGTTCATTGAGCCACACTTGTTGAATAATGTTTTAAATTTATAAAAAAATAATATTCTAGCTCATTTGTCTTGAATATAATTTTACTTTTTAAGCAAAAACTGTTGTTTTGATACATGAGTAGATAGATACTTTGTTCTTTTTTTTTAGATTTTTTTCCAATTTTACAGGCCTGTGTTATGAAAGTTTGAAATTGTTATTATATCATTTTTATTATCTGTGAATGAGTTTTAATAACTTGAGTATTAGTGGCAGTGTTAAACTCAGAATAAAACCGTTAGCCTTTATATGTGATGTTGAAGTAACTTGTCCATCATCTTGGGTATTCTAAACATTTTATCATAATTTCAAATAATGGACTGATTAATTTATTTTACAAAAATTTGTTTATACTTCAATATAATAGAACCAAAAGGCCAGATACATTTTTTTAGGTGATTTAAGCTTATGCTTAATATGTTGCTTGCAAAACTGGTCTAGCATAGCCCGATGGTTAGGGTTGCGGGTTGAATCCCATCACACCAAATATGCTTGCCTTTTTAGTGCTGGGGGTGATATAACGTGACAGTCAATCCTACTATTTGTTGTTAAAGAGTAGTTCAAGAGTTGGTGGTAGGTGATGTTAACTAGCTACCTTCCTTCTAGTCTTTCACTGCTAAATTAGTGTGGCTAGTGTAGATAGCCATCATGTAACTTTGCACAAAATTCAAAAAACAAACTTAAGAAAACATGTAGAACTATGTTTTGCAACTCAATCACATATATTTGTGTTATTGTAAAACCAGATTTTCTTTAAGACTTGATCAAAAAAAGTTTCCAATCACGTAAAAATTTTCATTATTAAAGTTGTTTTTTGATAAGTAGGAAATTATAGCAAGTTTATATTCAAAGTAAAGAGTGTTTAGCCATATAAAAAATGTGGAAAATGTTTTGTTTTGCTACTTGATTCCTGTAATTAACTATCAACTTATAAACTATTTGCTAGAGAAATTAAGAGAGCTATTTCAAACTTTGCAGATGCCTTAGTTAAATCTGAAGTTTTTTTCTGCACAATTACAGATGACTTCCTCTGTACCACACTTTGCTAGAGACTTTCCCAAGTCTCATGTTGACCCAAATCCAATACTAAACTCCAAATCCACACCTGTGGACTCCTTTCAGTGGGCAAGTACTCATCCTAGCTCACACAATACTTGGGACCCACATACTATTACTTCACTTCATCCAGCAGGTATTCTTACAATTTCACTTTAAGAAGCTAATGTGTGTGCGTGTTAACAGATAGCCTTTGAGAGCTTTAGTGTAAGAGATTCTGAAAACCATATGAAATGTTGTACTTTGCTAAATTGTGTGACTTTGACTGTTGTCAAAAAATATAATCATTTAAAAATAAAAATAGTTATTCTTAGATAGAAAGCTCATTGAGATTAGTCAAGTCTCTTATAAAAAAAACAACAACATAATGCAAAAATTCAAAATATTATCAATCTATAATACAATTTTGATAAAACCTGAGTCATAATCATTTTTGATACAGAATTTTATAATAGAGAAGCCACTGATTTGTGTAAGACATAATGTTTTTATGTTATTTAACTATTTTTTTAATAAGGTCTAAGCTACGTTATGCTAGTTATAGTAAAATATTAGCATGTCCGACATTTTTGTTTTAGAAATTGCAAATTTTGACTTTGGGGATGATTTCATCTTGCTCCAAAAGAAATCATTAATGTTTGTGAATTTCCAGATTTTTTTTTATGATCATAATAAGGCACAGGTAGTCCAACCAGTAGGAAAGTAATAATAGTTTTGAACAAAATAACAATAATTTGACCCTTTAACCTTAATACAAATGTAGTTTTATTGATTTTAGCCAATCACTGCTCCTAAACTTCAGTTGTTATGGTGTGATATAATTACCCATTACTTAGCTTCATGAACACTAAACATGTTCTGTCCTTATAGACCAATATGTCTTCCAGTTTGGAGGAGATTGCATAGAGATCAGAACAAAGAGATCAAAGCTAATTCTGGTGATATTTGAAAAAGAAATGATATTTGTGAATAACTTCAGCTACAATTATAGGTGGATTTTTTTTTATCAAAGCTTGCTTTATCATTTCATACTTCATTTGGATTATAATGTTGCAGCATGATGAAAGAATCAATGTTTTTTGTGGAACAAAATTAGGTAGATGTGCCTAATTCGTTTTGCACTTAACTGTATCAAATTTGGTTTTGCAGAAAAAGCCACTTTGCTAGACTGTGTTTATATTAAGCCCTCTCAACTTAATGGGTCAAGAAAATCACCAAATGGAAATGTTAAAAAATAACAAATAAATGAATGTAAAAAACTGTTTTAAATGTAATTTAATTTATTAAGCAGAGCCTTTTGATTAACAGTTAAAAAGATTGGCTTGTCTATAACTTTGGCAAGATAAAAAAGTTATTGTTTTTTGTATACCAAACCCAGTGAAACTGCATGCCTTGTTTTTTTGAATCCAAATTTACAGCTTTACAAAATGAAAACTTATATGAGAGTTTTAAACATGTAGGAAAACATAAGAATCAGGAAATAAAATCTACAACAAAGGTACAAATTTTTAGTTGTTTCTTAAACAAAAGTATCACTGTGAAATTGTTTGAAATTTCTAACACTACAAAATCATACAAATATCATATATAAAAATAATATATTTTATTCTCAGAAGCTACATAACCTATAGAAAGTTCTTCTGAAGTTTCAAACTATTTCAGGTAATATTTTTTTAGCGTTCTTAGCAAATAAAACAAACCACACAAAAGATGAATTGAAGCATTTGGGCATGATAAAGTTAAACTGTTAAAAACTGGCTCAAGCACTTTCAAAAATTTTTAATGTAAGTAATGACAATTCAATTCACAGCAGGCAACAAGTAGGTAACAAATTACAGATTTAAAAGTAAAACTAAATTAAAGTATATTTTTGTTTTGTAGGTGATAACTTAGAAGATGATGAGTTTGATGAATTTCAGTCAGCTTCTGTTGTGACAACTATCTCAGAAGTGCAGTCACATGATACTTTAGCTACTAGTATATCAACTTTTGGTTCAGTTTTATTGAGGGGTGATGATGATGATGAGTTTGATGACTTCAAGCAAGCTGTTTTTCCAACCTCAGTTGCTATAGCAACTAATAGTGGAGATAAGACTGCTGAAACATTTGATAGCAGTAGCCGTGATTTGATGGCTGCAGAAGAGGACAAATATAGTGTGTTTAGGATGCTTCAGGAACAGGAATCAAGTTCTCTTCAACAAAATAGTTGTTCTCTTCTAGATGCTGGAGGAAATGACAGTGGTGAGAAGCAGCAAGTGTCACATAGTAAGATAACATCTAGTCAAGATGTTGCAGTTACTTCTGATGCTATAGAAAATGAAGAAGATTTTGGGGATTTTCTTTATGCTTCTGCCCCTTCTGTAACTGCTGTCCAAGATGATTTTCAAGGGTTTGAATCATTTCAAACAGAAACTGCTTATCAATCTTTTGGTGCTTTTGAATCTTTCAAAACAACAGATTCAAGCTTTGCTAATTTTGATCAGTTTAACATTAATTCCTGTGGTTTAGGACAAAATGGCCCCACTTTAACCCTTAACTTGGCTTCACCACCAGCATTCCAATTATCGGATGAGAAAGATGAGTTTGGTGACTTTACTAGCAGCCAGGCTACTCTACCCAGAACAGAAACAGGAAGTGAGCTGAGTTACCATGGTAGCAGCAAAGACAATATTTCATTGGCTGAGAGCCAATCCATCTCAAGCCTAGAGCTTCCCACATATGACAGTGGAGGACACAATGGTGAATCCAAAGCATCATTGAGTCGTCATGGGTCCATTCCCAGCTTGGACTTGAAAAGTATTAATCTAGAAGAAACAGATAGTGCTGAAATGATGCAAGAAAGCCAAGGAAATATTCCAAGTTTAGAAAGTGCCTTTGATAAAAAAGAAGGCTCTCCAGAAGCTAATGTTAAGAAAACATACAATGGTCAGTTCATAAAGTTTTTAAGTTTTAAGTTAAACCTCTAATTACAGGTGGTTAGCTATCAAATCAAAGAAGATGCTTATCAGTCCTAACAACCTAGCATTACATGTAAGAATATTATAAGGCTTGTACTGTAAAATCATTAGACTTAACTCAAATTGGAAAGTTTTAATGTTGAATTTTGTTTATTAATTTTAACTATCAAATATGTTATCTAAGTATTTGCCTGACACTTTAAATTAGCAAAGCCATACTTGGTAATTGCAGTTTGAAATTGAGTTTGGCTGTTTTGTGTGATTGTTAAATGTTTGAAGGAATAAGGTTATAGAGTTACATATATTGTTGACTTTTAAATAGTGTCATTATTATCAGAATTTTTTCCAATTAGTCTAAATGTCTGTGATATTTTGTATAAATGTCTTCTTTTAAAATTGATATAGTTAGACTACACTACTACTTGGTGAGCTGAAGAGTTTTTTTTATTATTGAAAATGCTTTTAAAACTAATTTACATTACTAGTATTTGCACCTATTTATTCTAGAAAGTTACATTATGAACAAAAATCATTTACCAAAATTGTTTTTATTAAGTTTTGATTTAGTTCTTATAAAGTGTATATACATGCATTTTCCTTAGATTAGTATATTAGTATTTGTTGTTGGTGTTTCTATTTGTTTCTTATAAGCTCTCTTTCTATTCTCTAGATTCTGCACCACGTTTATTTGTTACTGTGGGTCCTTATATTACATCATCTGCAGCTTTAACAGATCGGTACAGTAGCATTCGCACTAATTCAGAGGTAAAGATATTCAGTGTAAAGTAAGATACAGAATGATGTTGCCTGTCTCTTTTCTTTTTTTACATATATGTGGATTACTCTTAAAAAGAAGTTTAGGAAGTCAAGACTCTCTTCTTACTGGTTTAGGAAGTGTAATGTATAACTAATTGGCCACTTTTTACTGCTATATTCAGCTGTTATACACCATAAATTATCAGTACACGTTGAAAGGGTAAAAAGTGAAAAACACACAAAATATGCTCTTCTTCATCCTCAAAATTGTTATGTTGCTTTTCATCCAAATTCCACTCAGTTGTGTCTGATTGAAGAATTGTTTTGAAAAAATAGAAATTGAAGTCAGGTGAGATTTGAACTTGCAGTTGTGCTTTCTGGGCTGGTGCTTTATTTAGCTAAGCTTCTATATCTCTGATGCAAACTTTCATTACTTTATAGGGATGGAACTTGGCAGGGCTCTTGAGCTATGCCATTTCAGTTTGTAAAGCTTATTTATTATGCCGAGTGCTTTTATTGTTGAAAGTTCCCATTTAAATAGTTTTAGCAACAAAAATTTTAAGGGTGAAACATCATTTTTATTTTTGAAAACTTCAATTGCAAGTTCCATTTTGTTTTCTTGTGTGTGTGGGCTAAAATGAAGTGTAATAAAGCTTTTGGAGGTCAAAGAGCATACATATTTTGGTTTATCAAAAAATGACATATGTAAATGTCTTAGAAGAACATTAGCTAGAGTAACTAGAATCATGAAGTATCATGTATTGACTGGTAATTTGAAAATGTTTGTGGCCTGAAATTTATTTTACTCTCAAGACTGAATAAGTCACAGTTGCACATAAATAATATATGCTTTATAAGCTCTGTATTATTATTAGTGTTGATTTACATACATTACTGAATGTACTGATGGGTTCTTGAAGTAATTGAACTTAGTTCTGACTTGTTATTTTGAGTCCTGATGTTGTATGTATGTATTTAATAGTGTAAGTTTATTTCAAGGTGGATTTGGGCAATATAGTTGACAGGTGGACTGTTTCATGTATTTCTTCTGCCTTGTTTGATCATAAGAATGGAGTTGACAAGCCTTGTTTGAATCTGTATGATACCATAAAATTAATTTTTAGTGACAAATCTACTTTTCTTTTGAAATAACCACAAAATATCCCCCCCCCCCACTTTAAGCTTTACGTGCATTTTAAAAGTGACAGTCACTTCCTTGACATGGTGCTGCTGACTGACCACTTTCCCTCTGGTCAGTAGTTCAAAATTAAGGGGAGCAGCAGATAGTCTTAGTAGCTTTACCTTTATTACAAATACGAATAGTTGTGAGATAATGTTTTTGGTTTGGTTCTGTGCTAGCACGTTATGAAGGACTTGATACAGAACCTGAAACATCATACTAATAACAAACTAAAACAGGAAAAGTCTATAAATTGTGTAGTTTTATTTTTCGTGTTAAATAATTGTTTATTTAAAAGGATAGGTTGGCCATCATGCATTAGCTGAGCAGAAAAATATTAAAATGCATCACTTATATTAGTTTTGTACTTTCTGATTAGGCAAATGCTTAAAATCTGTGCTAAGATTACATTTTTCTTAAGTTTTAGAAAACTTGGAATTGTTATACTTTGCTTTTAGACTTTGAAAAATTTTAATTCTGTACATTTTTGTGTTATCTTGCAGTTTTTGCCTTTTCATTAACTAAAACATTTTGTGCAAGTTCTAACTTGAGAAATAAAGGATTATATTTTAAAGTAAAAAAAAAGTTTTCCAACATACCAAACGGAGTTAAGTAGGGAACTTTAGAAACTAAAAATATGTTATTACCAAGAGCCTTGACTTTCCACTGAGTATCAGGCAATTTAATGTTGGTTAAAAATAGCACATATAAAGTAGAAAATAAAAAAAAAACTGCTTCTGGATCCTAAAACTTATGTTTTCTATTAATATAATCTATGAATCTGAGAAATTATTTTCAATTACATTTGAAGATAAGTATTGAACTTATATAAATTTAGAAGGTCAAATACTCAGAACATTTCAGAGTTAGACAGTTCTTCCAGACCAGGTAACTTCCATTACATCAGGTCTGCTACACCCTTCTGGTTTTTGAAATTTGTAATTGACTGTATTAACCAATAAAACATAATAGTAGTATTAATTTATGCATTCTTTAGATTATTTCATTTTTTTTTATGACCAAAAAAACACTTGTTTTGTTTTTCTTTAGAGTCAGTTTGAGGATGTTCATGTGTCAGAGTGGAATCGTTGTCTGACCAGCTGTCAAAAACTTCTGTATGGAGGATGGCAAGTCTTCCATCAGATGCCTAATAGTTTAGTGTGCAGTGAAGTGCTATCAACCGAGGAAGGTTCTGAATACATTAAAAGTAATTAAAAGATTATATACAGTTTTGTCAGTAAAGGAACAAATCTCTGAATGGACTAAAAGTTAAGCTCATTGATAGTTTTTATTTACTTGGAGAATAATTCTGATTACATGAAAAATAATTGTTGTTTTGTGCACAGAAGAACAGAAAGAATAGAAATATCACTTTTTTGTGTTCATAGAAGAATCAGGAACTGAGCAGGTCCATCAAGGGGTACTGTCATTTTTAGTCAAAAAAGAAAACTAAAAAACAAACTAACTAGGCTTTTACCTAGTGGCGTAATGTTAAAAAAAGAAGAAAAAAGAGATGAGTATTAAAACTAACCTTAATCCTTTAACCCTTTCCATATGGGTCATGGGTGAAAGGCCATGTCATCGTGTTTGTTGACATACATTCAAGATTTTATTGAACTATTATTTCATGAATTTATGTCAATGAGTTTGGTATCAAACTGTAGATTATAATTCAAATTTTAGTATTTTACAATACTCAGTTTTTAATTTAAAAGAAAATATTAGAAAAACACAGTTAAACATCGATTTTTGTGTGTCACATGGTATGTTGAATGCAGCACTGGTTCAGATTAGATGTTTTTGATGTCAAAACACTAAGTCTATAGTTTTGTACAATGTGGGAACTCAAATTACCGATATTGACAAGCTAGAATATAAAATAAGAACATCTTGTCTTTTCTGTTTGCTAAGATATTGCTCAGGTAATAAATCAAACACAGTGGGACCCTGCCCACTTCTTTGCAATTTTGGAAACGCTCCTTTATATATACACTTACTTCTATATGTGATATGAATAACCAATCGAAAGCTCAAAATGTTCACCTTGTGGCTTTCTCCATCATTTTAACGTGTTTGGATGCCATCTCTTTCTTTTGAACCAAGATTTCAAGGAGGTAGGTTGTGTCTTTGGTCTGCTCGAAATTTAATATTTGTTTAGACTGAAATATAGCTTAGTTACTAAGCTTGACAAATTATAGTTTAATTCTATGGTACTGATGTAGTAATTTATTATCTTTTGGTTATTCAACTGTGTATATAAAACCTAAAATAAAAAAGTTCATTTCATATCCTCCATGTCCAAAATTTTTAAAGGCTTGGCAACCTATGTCAAGCAGCGACAGAGTAAAATGGTCCTAACTAGAAGAGATAATTGTTTGCTTTACTTCTTTATTTACTGTTATATGTTTTAAGAAAAATATGTGTAAGAACTTATTTCTACATAGCAATAATCTATATACGTATACAATGTCTAATAATTGAAATGTGACTGTATTTTACAAAATACTAGTCTACTAAAACACAGCCAAGATAGGTCACTTTGTAAAGACTAAAGGTCAATTTTATATTATTGAGTACGGTAACATGAGTGCACGTGTGCCACATCGTTGTAACTTCAGAATTGTTAGCCAGGCATGGCTGAAAGGTCAATATAATAAAAATTATAAATATATATAAATGTATAATGTTATGAGATTTAAGCTATTCATTCTAAATATTTATGTTTTTGTGTTATAATTTGTGTTCATTGTAGAATGAAATAGGCATAATTTATATTTATTTCCTGATTTTTTTAAGGTGGTTACAAGATCAGTCAAATCAACCAAACTCATACAGAGATTAATTACTGAAAATAACAGATAAAATATAGTTTTTTCTTAAGAAATGTTTAATAACTATCTGGACATTATAAAGATTTCACATAATAATTTTCTGATGCACAAAAGTATTTTTAATCTGAAAATGAAAATTAATTTGCATGTTGGATAGGCAACATCAATGTTTTACATCAATTAAATAAATGGTCAATAAATCACTTAAATTTGCTGATGATATTAAGGTATTGGGTGTTAGTGGCTGTGAAGAGGATGTTGGTGATTTACAAAAAGATTTAGATCATTTAGTGAGTTGGGCAAATAAATGGCAAATGGGTCTTAATTATAATAAATGTAAGATAATGCATGTGGGTTATCATAATATGAATTATAAGTATAATTTGGATGGGAATAACCTTAACAATGTCATGAAAGAAAGGGATCTTGCAAAGTGTAATAGTTGATCAGTCTCTTGACCCATCCAAGCTGTGTGCTGTTGCTGGTGGTATGGTAAATAGGATTTTAGGTTGTATGTACAGAAATATTGAATACAAGTCTAAAGAGGTTATAATTTCACGGGGGAGTAAGATAAGCAAATGCTTTGTTCCTTAAATAAGAAATCGGTAAATGCAGCTTGCCCTTGACTATGTTACTGTTCTTAACCTATTCAAATAAATAAGACGTGAAACAAATTTGAAAATTTTTATCCTCTATATTTTTTCTATTCATTAAAGCTATCCTAGTATCAATTAAAACTTATTTGAGAATTGAAGAAAACAAAGGATGCTGTCATGGAAACATGGAATGGAATACTAGTAAAACTAGATATGTTAAAATCTTTTTAACAGCAAGATTTTGGTCCTATTCTTGGGACTGTTTGATGGCTAGCTGAACATTCTGTAGACTTAAGGTAGCCCTAAGATACAACTGAAACTTGTTATCATAGAGTTAGTAGACTATATTTAGGGATGGACAAAGTACTCTATAGGCATAATACAAGTATGCATGATAAAGTTTTACTTTAAAAGATGATTGCCATTCACTTTCATTTGTTTCTCTTTTCAACACTCTCAAAAACAAGGTAAAAAACCATCGCTAAAATACCAAACCAGAAAGTGACCAACCCACCAAATTGTTCATCTTTCTTGTTTCAATCAAGATAACTCAACAATTACTTTATCACTAATGTTAGTTTACACCTAAATCCACTCTGTGTTTCTGGGCAGTGCATAATGTCATCGCTTAGTTGTAATAACTAGTAGTAATTTAAAAAACACATAATTCTAGTGTAAATGATGTTATCATTACCTGTTGACGTTACTTTTTTTTACAGAAATTTGGTGTTCTTTTAAAAAGCTTAAGTACAGGATTAAACAGGAATTACCAGCCAATAATAGATGAAGATTAGGTGACTGTAACATGTAGAATACTTAATGCTTTGTACATTACATTGGTGTCTTTAGGGAGCCAACCTCTATATTATGTATGAAGTGAAGAAGTAAAAAAAAATCATTACACATAATATTAAGTTTTATTACACACATTCATCAAATACACTAACTTTCAGTCATGGGAATAAAATGTTGCAAAACAAGTAATATAAAACATTTAGTAAATGTAAAATGATGTTGGGATGGCAGTGCCAAAAATACTGCAAACAAGAATATAGGGATGATACAGCTATACATAGATCATCCCTACATAACTTTCAATATTAAAATTTAATGTTATACTGTAAAATGCATACTTGACTTTAATATTACCACAGTTGGAAGTTATATATTCCTGACTGTTGGTATGCAGTTTATTTGTTATTAAGTACAGGAGTATTTGATAATAGGGATTGCGATGAAACAAAATGACAGCCATAAAAATTGCCAATTTAAAACTACCTTTAAAATGTCTTAATGTTAACAATGACTATTTCACAGTATTGGCTAAGCAAAATTAAAGATTATTGTACTTATAAAGCTGCTGCCTAAGTCACTATATATACGTGTTTATGGAGTGAATCAAAATTTCCCTGTTTCAACAAATTTTCATTTAAGTAAGTAAATGACCCTTCCAGACAAGTGTAAAAAAAATTATGAACCTTACTGCTCTAACTCTTTCACCTAACTCTTCTATACGGAGTCCCAATGATTTCTTTCTTGTACAGAAAAGGATGTTACTATATATAGACACACATATACATACATACATACATACATACATACATACATACACATACATAAAATAGACAATGTGCTACTTTGGGCATATAATTAGATTTTAAGGTAGATTGGTAGAGATCCTGATGAATAATAAATCTGAATCGGGTATATAGGAGCCTCATGCTTGGTATTCTTGGTGCACAAAAACATAGCTAAAAAAAAAGAAACAAACAAGTATAATAACAAATTTTTTAATTTTATAAAGCCAAGTAGGAATTGGTATATACATAATCTAGCTAGCTATAATAATATAGAAAGTTTTAATGCTACACAAAGTATTGAAAGAAGAAGGTCAAGATCACAAAAACTGAGTTATTAAAATTTAAAAAAAAGTGTCAATATAGTTTTGACCATGGTTTTGCCAGTAAGGCATCATCAGGTATTGATTGTAATAAATGAAGTGTTTGTGAAACATACAAATGTCTTTGTTTTCCTCATTTTTGTAATTATGGAGTTTTGCCAAGTACCAACTTTTCAAGTATTAATTAAAAATTTTTGTTACAGTGAAAACTTGATGATGCCAGAACAACTCTGATGTAATATTCTTGTTTTTAAATTTAATCATTGTTTTACCTCAGCTTAAATCATAGTAAATTTTTATTTAAATACTTTCTTGCATGAGTGTGAAGCTTTGGATTAAAGTGCATTTTTTTCCAAGATATTTGAACTTCATTCTCTAATAAACACATATTGTAATTTTTTAGATCTTACTGAAGTCCAGCGTGTGGTGCAGCGTATTAAGTTAGCAATACAGATGTCTGGAAAGGAGACTGATGAACTACAAAAGATACTACTAGATACTGATTCTACCTGGCAAAACATTCTGGTTTTTATTGCAGGAACTTCTCTCATGGTGAGATATTTTCTTAAGTTTTTTCTAGATTTTATAATAAAAGTAAGATATATTGAATTATTTTTAATTATTAAACAGTGTAGATATTCAATTAGTTCTTACTTGATATTGAATATAATTCTATGTAACATATTTCAGTAGATAGAGTAAAACTGATACAAGTTGTCTTTAGGCTAAGATAAGTATATCTTCAGTTTAGTACAAGGCAATTGAAATTTTAAAAGAAAAAATGTCTATAATTTCACAAAATAAAACAATCTTGCAGCCTGAAGAGGGTTCTCTGGATTTTTCTTCTACCATCCTGCCACTAGACCCAGAGGATGTGTCAAAAGCTTGTGGAGTGTGTTTGTTGAATGTGGAAGGCAGAAGTAAAGCTTTTGACAGAGAGCAAGACAGTTACAAGCTTATGTATGGTGGCCGTCAGTATCATGCAGCCTGTGCTAACTTGTGGGTCAATTGTGTGGATTCCCTCCTTCCAGCTTTGCCCCTTCCTCATTTACTATAGGCACCTAGCAACAATAATAATATTCTCCGATATCATGGAATAAAAATTCTGACTATATGAACAAGTCGATATAGATTGGAGCTGTGAATGCTTGGCTAGAATATACTACACAGAGGTTTACTTTATCTTCAGATATTTATTAAAGCTCAATTAAAGTATGTAATGAAGAACTACAAATAATTGTTTTCAGCCTAACGAGAGTTTGAATATCTTTAAATTGATTTTATCACTGAGAAGAAATTTAATGTTGAAGGTAGAAATATGTTCAGTGCATGAAACTTTCCATAAAGAACCAACGATCAGCTTCTAAAGATCATATATTCAGCTGCTTTTCACAAATAACTTCTATAACAAAATATTAACATTTAACCACATTAACGAGAAATAGCTGTAACCTCTGGATGTCGTCCTTGAACCGTGGTATGAAATACTAGTAAGACTTGACACATTAAAACCTTTTTAATAGCAAGATTTTGGTCCTATTCTTGGGACTGTTTGATGGCTAGCTGAATATCCTGTAGACTGAAGATAGCCCCGAGATACAACTGAAGCTTGTTATTAATTGTATTAACAAGGAGTAATCTGGTGTTATGTATCTAATAAAGAAATGGCTACCTTTAACAGATAACTGGAGGTTCAAGACTGTCAGTCTCTTTTAACAGATTACCATACTTAAATAGAGGTAATTAGTTTCTTTTAACAACTACAGTAACAAGAAATACATTTGTATTCTTTTAAACAATAAACTCTATAATAAGTAGTAGTTTCATATTTTTAAACAAGTAACACAAGTAACAAGAGATAAATGCTACTAATAGTAAACCCTGTAAGATGCACAAAAACATTGGTTGCTTTTTGTAGACAAAGTAAAAAAGGGGCAAAATTAGTTATTTAATGAAAAAAAAAGGGGAGGTAAAGGAAGTTGTTTTTGGCAGATGATTTGTATTGTGTGGTTGTTTTTGACAAGCAACATTGTTTAACAAGGAATATAGTGAAGCTTAATAACATGGTTTGAATATAGGTTTAATTTCAGTAAATCAATTTATGAAGCTATTAATATAAAAAACTTTATAAAATTTTTGTTTTAGTAGATAAATGAACCACAAAATATTTGCCATTCTAATATCCATCCACTTTACAGTTAGGTACTTGTATTATTACTAGATCTTAGTAGAATTGTTTCACTGTTTTCATGTAGGCTGATATTTCTCTATCTACGTGTACTTAGTCAGTATTTAACAATTATTCTTTTGGTCAACCTTGTCATATATTTGTAAAAACCAAAGTTATTGACCTAAAATATTTTTAGGTATTAGAATTGTGTTAACATGTTTATGTAAAAATTATATATACATATATTTATATATTATAGTTTGTTCTGATTGTGCTTTCTTTCCTTTAATGTGAGAGAGCAGCTTCACATTGAGGGCTAATTTTAAAATTAGAAAATGACAGAGCAATCAATATGTGGAGCTATGTGAAAAAATAATGCATAAAATTTCACAAGATGTAGAAAAAAATTGTTAATGAAATAAATTTTTTTATTGTCTTCAAGTAATATAACTAGTTATCAAATTTTTGGGGATGCCTGTTTTGGTTTATAAGTTTTCTATTCTGAAACTGGATGATGCTATAACCTTTGGGAATGTAACTCTTTCAAAATGTCTCAGTACTCAGGTTTGTATGTCATTGAATGATGCTTATGATGTATTGTGCTAGTTTATGCATTGGAGCAAAAAATATTGCTATTTTAGTGAGAGCTGTAATGTTTTTCAGGCGGTATTTTTATGATAGCTGTTTAATTGTTGCAGATTTATACATTTACTTATGCTGACTTAATTTCATTGGTTTTACATGTCAGTTTCCTGTGGATTATTTCTTTGTAACATATGCTAAGAGTTCATCATTCCATTTATGTAGAAAAATTAATACACATTTTTTGTGTTGCAATACACAGTTTCTTTATATGGCCCATCCATATGTATGCATTTAAATTAAGATAATTTTGAAATCATGATTATGAAACAAAATACATACAGATTAATTGAAATTTGATGTTTGAAAGTAAGAGTTTGTATTTTAGTAATATATATGTAGAAATTAATATTTCAATTTCTTTTCAGTTTTGTTTGAAAGTATGTGACTAACAACATAAAAGTGTGAGAAGGCAATTAAGACGTGTTGATACCTTCAGCATGATCAAAACAATTCAATTTTTACTAATTTAGTACAAACCTATGGTTTAAAGTTGACAGCAGTTGATCTGCTAGTAGATGTGTTACGTATCCAGCTTGATAGAAATGCTTGTTCTACAAATAAGTATATTCTGTTGGAATTTAAAGAGTTGAAAAATATTTGTTCATTTACTACACTTGTACTGGAATCAGTTGTTTGGAAGAGAGAGTTGGTCTGTTAAAAGACATTTGTTGAAACCCACTTAAAAAGGACTTGCTAATAAACATGCATTGCAATCTTTGGTTTGAAAGAGACTTGTTTTATTAATGCACACATTAATGTGCATTTTGTTTCAAAATAAACATGTTTAGTGTATTGGTTTTTATAGACTGAAAGTTATGATTTGTTAATATATGGAGTTATTTATGGTTTGAAAGATGCTAGAATTTAAAATTGAAGGCAGTTGATCTGTCAATACAAAACTAACTAAGCTAAAATTTGAAAAAGACAATTGTTATCATGCTAAGATACTTGCAGTTTAACTTCTTGGTTTGAAACAGGTGGTAGTTTTGCCAGTAAAAAAACTTATATACATACATATATAGTCAAAATAAACTCTCACTGGTTATTATTTTTGTATGTCAACTTTAAATGATTTTGTTCTTTCAGTATAAGAACTTATTTGCCACCTGGCATGGCCAGGTGGTTAGGGTGCTCAACTTGTAATCTGTGGGTTCGAATCTTCATCATACCAAACATGCTCGCTCTTTCAGCCATGGAGGCATTATAATGTGATGATCAATCCCACTATTTGATGGTAAAAGAGTAGCCCAAGAGTTGGCGGTGGGTGGTGATGACTAGCTACCTTCCCTCTAGTCTTACACTGCTAAATTAAGGACGGCTAGTGCAGATAGCTCTCGTGTAGCTTTGCACAAAATCCATAACAAACAAACAAAAATTTATTTTAACTTTATTTTAATGAATTATGTTGTTTTTAAATCATTGAGCTTATTTAGCAAAATTAGCTAAGCCAGCTATAAAACCTATTTATGAATCTGCTTTAAAGGACCAGTGGAAACATTCGTACTCTAGATTGTGAAAGTAAAGGAATTATTGGTATAGATTCTTACAAAGTAAATTTCCTCAAAATTACATTTCAGTCTAATATTCTTGATTTAAACTCATTTATGGAAGACTCAGTCACAGATTTACTCACATTAGCAACAATGATGATTAGTGTTAATTATGAGTAGCTGCCTTAAATATATGAAGTGTTTTACAACCATTCTGTTGTTTGGTGTTAAACTTTTAAATAACATCCCTTCCCTTAAAAACTGAATTAGAGTTTAAAAAATACTGTCTTTAAGGCTGAATAATTCACAAGAATAAATTAATAGCATCGATGCTGTATATTCTTGAGATTCTTATATGAGTATATAAATATTGTGTGATTAAAAGACACTTCAAAACACCACACATATAATATACACCTGGAAAAAAGTTAAGCACCCCCGTGTTTTTTTCAAGTGATTCAG